TATTACTGCATTCTGCTGAGTACAATGTTCCTTGCCACATCAACATTACATGACCATAAATTAAATACCGTTAGCAGAAGCCTTAATAAGTTTTTCTTTCCCATATACCATTGGGTAGTTATTTGTACTGTATTATCAGTTGAGAAAATATAACACTCAGACCTATAGCTAAATCCTATACAATTCAGATATCTACCAAATTATCTACCTGGGTATGGACAACACAGCCCATTTGAACTACATGTACAAAAAGATAATCAACAATTTAGTTGAAAGAGGGGTGTCCAAAAGCTTGTCTCATTTATTTACAGACCCTGAGGGAGGTCTGACAGTGGTTCAATTAATCTGATATCAGTTTCACTACTCATCTACTAAGTTAAGGATATATGCTACATTAGCGAGATATTTTCCTTTTTTTCTAAAGAGTTCCCCTCCGCTTACAAACCGGCACATAACTTTTATTGAACTTGGATTTGTATATTGAGTGGCAGGTTTGTCTGCAGCACCTCCGTTGTATACAGGGATCCTTTGTATAAGGTAACTATCTTAGCAAATTTCAGGATGACATAGTGAAACTGTGAGAAGGTTTGAAACTCAAAAAAATCTTCCTGGGGATACATAAAAAGTAAATCGCCTCACCTCACAAATTAAAACATTACTTTTTTCACCAGTGATAAGTCCACGTCCATTTTAAGTTGTAAAACAACTTTTACAGTTGAAAATATGCCATTAATTTCTGCATAAAAGATCCACAACCCAAATCATTGTACCCCACTCCCTGCCCCCAATCACTAACATTCTATTTTAAGGACAAGGTGCCCTGGGCTTATTACCGGTAAAGGACTGTAAATGTACATCAGAGATGAGGCTTTCTATCACATTTTTGTATCATTGTTTCATGGAACCTTGCTGATCCATGCAGTCTCCAGTAATTTGGAAAATTTCTTTCCAGACACTTAGATAAACAACATGAATTAAAAACACTGTACCAACAAATGTATTAAGTCATTCACTCCTGAAATTTCATAATGAACTATTCTAACCTTTGAATTGGAAGAGTTCTAATATGTCTTCAGGGGTGAACTAGTTAATCATCAAATTTATTCTTAAAAAATATCCTGATTTACAAAGTTTCATTGTAAATTGGTATGATGTCAAAGTGTTTACCTAAAAATCAAACCACTGTCCTCTACAACATTGGTACAATGGTCAAGTGGTCAATTCTCAACCCTTCTTTATTTTAACTCATTCACCCCTGAAATTTCATAATGAACTATTCCAACCTTTGAATTGGAAGAGTTTAAATGTGTCTCCAGGGGTGAATATGTTTATAATGAATATATATATTCATGTAATATCTGAAATTTCCTCCCTTTCATTTCAAGGTTACTTATTATAGAAATGTCTTTCTCAAGTATACTTGACAACTGGTAAGGAGCCCTCCAGATTTATACCAGACAATTGCCCACTTGACCTGGTTAAACCAATCCCTTCTCTTGTTTTTTTTTATTTTGTTGTTTTTCTATTGTTACTTTTTTATTTTAGGTGGCATTTCAATAATCCCAAAAACTAGACCAGTTCGTCCTTGGCCATATGCTATATTTGCAGGGCAGTGTCACATACATGTATAGATGGAGCCAGTATTTGGGATGACTGAATGCCTTTAGGTATTTTGGGTGAAGAATTAGATCTACAGATTCAAAATGATAATGATATCAATTTTATTTTCACAAAAGGGACAGACTTATGATGACTATGAAATCTGCATTATTATAATGATCATTGAAATAAATTTACACGCAATATAAAACATTGTGAATATTTTTTCATAAACTTGACAATGATGATGATGACAAACAATACAAAAGTTCTGTAAAGAACAAAGTTTATGTATGATTTGTACAAAAACATAAGATGATCTTTTATAATTATCCTGAAGATTAGTGATGAAAATAATACAATGGAAATACAAAATGTACAGTAGAACGTTGACAATAACAGATAATCTGTCACTTAACTAATTAGATAATCCTTTTCTAAAATCTAGACAAACAGGACTCCACCATCCAAAATGATAAATTTCCATTTCTACTGAAATTGAACTCATAGCAACTATAAAAATGCAAAATGTTTCATTTCACACTGAACTTGACTTGGTTACAATGGAAAATGATGTTGAAAATGGAAAGTGACATCCCACTCACCAACAGAATTCATAATGCCGGTATCTTCCGCTGGTTTCAGTACTTTTAGGAAAACTTTACAAGTCACAGTACTCGAGTACAATGGGTATGTTGAATGGAAGAATTACCGCTGGGAAGATTGAATCCTGTTATGCTCATGTTCATGGGGCTATGAATTGAGATTGTTGACAAATTCTTAAACAACTACTGCACAGTTCATTAAATTTGTCAAGTCTTAGTCATAAATGTAACCATAACACAATGATTTAACCATAACACAATGATTTAACCATAACACAATGGTTTAACCATAACACAATGGTTTAACCATAACACAATGGTTTAACACAATGATTTAACCATAACACAATGATTTAACCAAAACACAATGGTTTAACACAATGATTTAACCATAACACATTGATTTAACCATAACACAATGATTTAACCATAACACAATGACTTAACCATAACACAATGATTTAACCGTAACACAATGAACATTTGTTCACCTGTCTTATATACCTTCCATCCTTAAATAAAAAAAACTTGGTATCATTGTTGATTTGGCATTTATAAACATTTCTGTAACAAAAATTAAAGATAACTTACGGTAGAATTGATTAAAAAGCCCCATGATGCTTTCAAATGAACTATTATTATACATCATAGACTAATGTTTAAACATAAAGATATCAGATTTCATGATTATGATGTTTCACTGTACATGTATTTAATCAAATAAGTATAGTGGTAAAAAAGTGAAAAACTATCTATTGTTTTTCTAATCAAACACACAAGATATAAATATGTAAATTACATCAAGCAGAAGCAAAAAAATGAAATCACGTTTTTCCTCAAGTTAAAACGTAAACTGTGAAAATGAAACTGTCCAAAAATATTCTGGAATTTAAATGATATCTGCTTAATATAGAAAGCAACCAGGTAACACTAGTACCTAGGTAATAATAGTTTCTATGATGTTAAGGACAGTAAATGAAATTCACACAAAATATAGAATATGATATCTTCAGTATATAATGGTACAATGTAAATGTCATTTTATATAAAAGATGGTTACCGTGCGTGTAAAAGGGTAGCATGTTACTTCAAGGCTTAAATGGCCACAACAAAGGTTTGTACAAGTAATTAACCTACTGCTTCATCATGTATGTAGTACAAATGTAGGTCAGTTTTACAGCACATCTTATATTAAACATCAAATGTCATCACTGAAGTGAATAACACCAATATTATTGCATATCATAAAATCTTGAGTGCAAAAAGGTGCCGATTGTTTACAAACATTATAAAAACTAGTTATAAAGATTTGATTTTTTGTACAATAATTAATATTGGATTAGTTAACATATTTGTTTAGGTGTGTGTTAATATTCTACTCTAGTATGTCTACAGATACACTATTGAAATAATTATCATTTATGAACTTTTGCTAAGATGAATAAATATTTACATATGGACCAGAGAAAGTGTAATTGTCGAGGTCAATATCCCTTTTCATGTCCATATCACCGCATGTTCACTGATTGATGTTTTTATTTTGGAAAAATTCATTGTTGTGTATCAATTCAAGTCTTGGTTTTCAAAACAATATGGTTCCAATATATTTGTTTCAAGAAAAATTTGTAACGATAAATGTACAAATGATATAAAGTTTTACACAGATTTCATATTGTTTATTTCATTTCCAGTTATTGTTGTAATAAATCATGCATTTTATTTCATCATCATGCATTGGTCAAGCTGATGTCACAAAACTTATATAGTGGCAGTGTATTACATGAAGCGGATCAACATTAATACTAGTTGTGCCTTAGGAACGGGTCTATAAAAGGTACAGTGTGTTCTAAATTAAAAGCCTGCATGCACAAATATAAAAGAAAAAGAAACATTTTTTTCCCCAGAATAAATCTGGTTTATATCGGCAAGACTGGAACAATGTCACAATCTGTTAAACAATTTTTGTCAGAATATGTCATACGGTCGACGTTGTCAAACAATTTAACAGTTTCTCGATCATGTCTTACTGTTCACTCTTCAGTTTCCACATACATGTACTACCAGATCTCCCCCCACAGGAAAGTCTCTTGCATAATATATTGTTTTGGAAAAATAAATCATTATATGGACTAACTATAGCTATGACAAGGCTCATGTCAGATGTTATAGATCAAAATGATAGAAATTAACAAAGTAAAGTTCTAACCACGCACACTCACGAACATATGTACTATATTAGATTAAAAGTACAATAACTATATATTTAAGCTACAAATATGCATGGCTACGTAACAATATGAAATATAAGTTTCATTTAGAAAATTTAGTGTAAACCCACATCACAAACACTAACAAACAATTTGTATACATGTATATGTAGTGTACACTTCAAAATACAAAACTATCTACAGATATAGTCCTCAATATAGACAGTAATACCCCACGCCTCAATAAAGAAAGTAAGACCCCAGGCCTTAACATAGACCCCAAACACTACTGTCTACAAATATAGTCCTCAATATAGACAGAAATACCCCACGCCTCAATAAAGAAAGTAAGACCCCAGGCCTTAACATAGACCTCAAACACTACTGTCTACAGATATAGTCCTCAATATAGACAGTAATACCCCACGCCTCAATTTGGATCAAAGTCATTGAGCTGGGAGATTGAAAAATAAAAGACCTGTAATAAAAGCTGCTAGGTTGGGTGGTATTCTACAGGAGTTGGGGTATATCCTAAATAACCTCCCCCTCCTTAACTCACGATCATGTGAATCTAATTACAGCCCCCCCCCCCCCCCCCCCCCCCCCCCCGCCTATAGTATTACTGATAAACTCTATTTTACACTGTACATTTTTGTAACAGTACTGTAAGCCAACACCTCCCTTCTCTTAACTCCCCATGAACATGGTAGAGATGGAATATAAAGCGTACTCAATACAACTTCCTGGTATACCGATTGATGACAAATGAGTGCAACATTCCAGGAAAGTCTGTTAAAATATTTTGAGCAGTTGTCTAGACAAAACAAATTCTAACTGTATCAGGAACATTTACAAATGTCCCTTTCCCTTGAACTATCCCTGCAGTTCAAAATGAACCATTGAAAAATATAATATTTAATTCCAGCTAAAAGAATTCATTTTACAGGAATAAATGTATAAGCAAAGGCAGGCATCTTGAATATCGAAAACTTGAAAATCAACCATTAGACGTACCCTCACTTTTACAAAGTATCAACAGTTATCAATATTTTTTACTGAGACATTACCAAAAACTGTTATATCTCTATATAAACTATAGTCAACTTTACCTCTTTCCCTAGGCCCAGTGGAGGATGAGTAACCCCTAGGCGTGGATAGTAAAATTCACTATTTTGATATAAAATATTTCGACATCTTCATTATGGAAGAGTGTTTGATTTTGCATGTAGCAAATCCAAGCCTGAAGAAAATTAATTTTTACTTAATTTAGACAGTGTGACTACTCCTATGCAGCTTCTGGGCATTAAAATCCAGATCATTGACACTTTTGATTTGCCTATGGCTATAGAATCATCTGGTCTAGTGGTATTTGAGAAGAAAACAAAACTGTAAAGTGTTAACAGATGCCAGATATAGCTGCAGAAACTGTAGCTCTAGCTCTGATTACTATATGTTATTTTGACTTTATACATTATATTTTGAAATTTTACATTTACAATTTCAAATAAAAAAACAAATTTATTGGACCTAGAGCTAATTTCCGCAGCTATGCGGGATGGTGCTCAATGACAGACATGGATAAACAGGTCACAGGTTAATTAGGGCATATATGCAAAGTGCACAACTACATTAGATATAGATGTTGAAATTAGTCTGGTAGTTTAGAGAAAAATGTTGAGACAAACCTTAATTTCTATTCACAGATAGACAGACATTCCATTAAATATTACTATGCAGTATGGAGCTAAACTTTGTTTTCCACAAGGAAACTAACTGAATGAATCTATTAAATTTCAATGTGTCAGGCCATACCTTTTAGCTCATAAGGACTGGATGTTATATAGTTAGTAGAAATGGACAGACAGACAGACAAGCTGATTCCTGTATACTGCATTGAGGCAGGGGAAAGGGTTTAAGTGATATATAATTGGATACTGTAATGTATGTTAAGCATACCTTATATATAACTCTAATGTATTTACAAAAACAAACATAGTGTAAAATATCTAAAAAAAAATCAATCAACAAAAGACAAAAATATAAACATCAAACCAAACCAGAGTTACTTATGTCTTTACATCACAGGAAAATGTGTAAAGCTTTATATATTTTGAAATAAATATCTAAACTTTACATTCATTATTAGATTTAGAGGCATTTTTACTAAATGTCTTGTTAAAAAACAGCCAAACTCAATAGCAAGTTCTCTCAACATCTAGCTGATACAGACGGTGTTGCCAACCAACCAAAATTCAACATGATGACTTTGATTTCATTTTCAAGACCCTGTATGACCAAGATTTCAAACTCTTGTCAAAGATAGATCCATTCAGCGTGTCATGACAACGGAGGTAATCCTGCCATACTTATATTTCAAACAATAAGGATCCCTGTACCACTGCCAAAATCTATAAATATGAAATAAAATCTTTTTCATTGCTATGACCATACCTTTAACAATCATTCCTGATGAGGAATCCACATGTTGCAGGACTAAATCATAGAAAATTTAAATGAAATAAATTAAGAATAAAATCCACAATATTATTCTAGAGGTAAAAGTTGATAGGGCCAGACCGGGATTGGAACCCTTGACAAAATTCTGATCAGGCTTCTGTAGACTCAACCAACTGATCTACCAAGGGCTGGTTCGTTTATGTCTGTTTTTAAATGTAACATTTTCGGCTATAAATCCTGGCAGACCTGCTAATGTTTATGTCAAGGCTCACCTGAAAGCAGCATCAGATTACTAGGTCCGACCTTATTTCATAAACGAACAACTCTGGTCCAACTGTTTGGATCGCGACAAACAAAAGTGGCCCTGATCAATGGTAATTCTGGCTCTGGACTAGCTTAATTACTATTACCCGGTAAACCCAAAATGCGATAAAGGGGAGATTACTGTACATGTATATATGGAAAAACTACAGTGGAATTCTTTAGTGTTTTGCTTGCAGTGGGACAGGGATCCTTTAAAGAAACATCTAGCTCTCCAAATTTAGAAAATTTTCTTCAAAAATACAATTATCATTCTGTTTATGATGTTATACACTGTACAAGAAAAACGAAAGGCCTATTTACATTAAGCTACAACATGTTCCCATATTTTTCATTGTATTCCACCCTTCTTGTACTTTATAACATACTCTGGATAAACCTGGTCAAAGGTGAACATGACAAATATTCCTGGATTTGATTCGCTGTCCACGCAGGAGTCATACAGCTCAAAGGGATCCTTTGGGTTGATTGGTGGTGGCCGGACAAAGGAGGATTGACCCTTGGTATACTGACCAACAAGGACACGAGCCAGAAACATCTCCCCTTCATTACTGTAGTGATCAGCGTAGGCTGCAGACTTGGCAAAGTAACTTCCACGGCCGTACTTGGTGCCCGATGTCTTCCCGGAGAACCGGAAGTCAAAGCCTTGCTGACAGATGGCATCAACGTACTGGCCGTTGGTACCATGAAATAGTTGTTTCTCATTAGGCTCCTTCTTCTTACGCTTCATCTTTTCCTTCTTACTGAAAAATCAAACCAAGAAAAAATACTGACAAAGGCAATATTTACGGGTTCTCTCACTTTTTTTGTGGATTTTCCAAAATGGGCATATCACTGGACTTTGTAGCCTTAAGTTACAGGAAATGTAACCTGGACTTACGGCAGAACATTTTTAGTATCAGGTGTGCTGTGCCAGAAACCTGCATATTGTGTTGTTGATGTTCATATAAATGCTTACCAAACAAAGTTCATCCAGAGTTCCCCGTTCTCTATCCGGTCAATCCCGAGTATCTGCGAGTTCTGCGGCATCGTCATGTGGAATAGGTCCTCTATCTTCCGACATTCATCTCGTACTGATGGTAAGGACACGCCAAGAATCTGTTACAACCAACAACAAAGATATCATAGAAATGGAAACAAAAACGTTCAATATATGTTTCAGTTCTTGAATATTACATAGACATGCATCTGGCAAATAAGGTTTCAGTTCAATAACTCTATGGATTCATAAGGTCCTATTAATAATCAACTAATATAGTTATGCTATAGATTGGCCTCTGAGTGAGTGTGCCTAGAAATCCCTCATTTTAAACCCCCAAAACAGTTGGTTGTAACCCTAGTTTTCAAAAATTGCCTTTACCTAGGGGTACAGAATCTTGAAAATGTATCAAATATACCCCCAAATCTAAACTTCAGTGGGAACACTGGACCTCTGTATGTATTTATTTCATTGTAAGAGTTTAAATTGATACATTAACATAATAACCACATACAGGGCCACACGATAGCACATGGGAACAAGTGGACCAATGGCATGGGCCTGCAATGCTCACCCGGTATTAATCTCACCCGTAACCTTAAGAGTGATCTAAAATAAAGCTACAGGCAAAATATCAGTATTTACAACTATAAGTCATTCAAAAGAACCTGTTAAAAGATTTAAAAACATTTGACCGATGAGACCTTGAAAGTCGAACAAGGTCATTACGTTGAACAAACTTTATAGCCCTTCATCTCAGCATGCAACTTGCAAAAATATCACCACCCTAGACCTTTTGTTTATTGAGATTAGGTGATTTAAATGTTTAAACATATTTGACTAAATGTGACCTGGAAAGTTGGTCAAGATCATTCAAATGAAAAAAGCTTGATAGCCCTTCATCAAAGTATACCAGTACCCTACTGAAATGTGATGGGAGAACTTACCAGTGCCTTACTAATTAAGTGTTAAGTGAGAACTAACTGGTATCCTACTGAAGTGTGAGGGGAGAATTTACAGGTATCCTTCTAAAGTGTGAGTGGAAAACTTACCGGTACCCTACTAAAGAGTTAGGAGAGAAGTCACTGGTACCCTACTAAAGTGTTAGGGGAGAACTTACTAGTACCCTACTAAAGTGTCAGGAGAAAACTTACTGGTACCCTACTAAAGTGTTAGGAAAGAAGTCACTGGTACCTTACTAAAGTGTTAGGGGAGAACTTACTAGTACCCTACTAAAGTGTCAGGAAAGAAGTCACTGGTACCCTACTAAAGTGTCAGGAGAAAACTTACTAGTACCCTACTAAAGTGTCAGGAAAGAAGTCACTGGTACCCTACTAAAGGCTTACTGGTACCCTACTAAAGTGTAAGGGGATAACTTACTGGTACCCTACTAAAGTGTAAGGGGATAACTTACTGGTACCCTACTAAAGGCTTACTGGTACCTTACTAAAGGGTTAGGGGAGAACGTACCAGTACCCTACTAAAGTTTTAGGTGAGAACTTACTGGTACCCTTGCTACTATAGGCTACTTAAGTCTTAGGAGAGAACTCACTGGTACCTTACTAAAGTGTGAGATGAGAACTTACAGGTACCCTACTGAAGCTTTAGGTGAGAACTTACTGGTACCCTACTAGACTACTTAAGTGTTAGAGAATTTAACTTACCGGTACCCTACTGAAGTGGGAACTGACGCGATTGGACAGGTCTGTATTCTGGGTACGGTCAAAGGCCCACTCCATGGGCACATAAGACATCAGTGGCTGAGTTAGAGGCCCAGTCATTATCACTGCAGAACTGGTAGCTCCTTGATGACCTTTACCCTGGGGATTCCTGGATAATACAACGCATAATGTTATGATGTTCTTCGCAGAATTTATTGTAAAACATAGGTCCTTACTGAGTTTCAGTGTTATATATGCATATCATTATTATGATCCTGTACTTGTTGGTATGAATAAAAAATGACCAAATTAAATTGCAGTAGAAGGTAAAAGGCATTAAAGCTTAAATATTGCGTTTTGATATGCTTCATTTTTTTTCCATCATGGTTTAACCTCCTTGCAATAAGTAGCCTGCAAGTTTGTTATTTTTTTTCAATGAAGACAATGTATAAAAGATAACCTCTTTATGCGTTTTTGAATAAGTGGGAGCACAAATCAAAATTTCCGTTTTCATTTCCCTGACATTTCTTAAAACCTTGAAACACTTAGTATCCATATCAATTCTAAAATTACGAGACTTTTTCTGACAATTTTCAGAGATTTATAATTTCCTGACTTCTAATAATCAAATACAATGAGATGGTCACCCACCTCTTCTTCCGCTCAGCCACATCTTTTGGAGCTACAAAAACAGGTCGACGCCGGACAATTCTTTCAGTTTGGTAAAAGAGATTCTGTTGTACCATCTTTTCAAAATCCATGAGATACTCGTGGCCAAGTGTGGCAAAGCGAAGCTGTCCGGTAGAGTTCTCTAGGTATCGCTGTTCCATGTCTTCACTACTTATTATAGCCTTGTATCCGGTAACGTTCTGTAGACAAACAATCGTATCACCCCTGTTATTCAGTGGAGAACTTTTCATCATATTATGAGACAGGTGTTATATGTAAGGTTGTCAAACAAGTTGAATTTGAGTAATTGGTTATTCATAAAACCTGTCAAAAAATGTAGAGGAGATCTCCGGACAAAAATTAAATACTGAAATGAACAAAGGGCAATAACTTTTGGAAAAATTATCGATTCAAAATTCTTTTAAGGGAGACACAACTTCATATCATGATTGTAATGTATACCAAGTTTCAAAGAGATCAGTCAAAAAATGTAGGAGGAGATTGCCGGACAAACAAAAGTTTACCCCGGTCGGATTGACGGACAATTGCAACTCCATACCATAATACTTCCGTCAAATTTGACGGGCGTATAATATACATGGCTGTTTTTTACTAACAAAGTAATATTAAAAACGTATTTTCACAGCATTATATTTTAATTAGCATGATAGTTTACTCACGGAGACAAAATACATTGTATTTCGACAACCATTCATTACAAGTAAATAGCCTCAGTTCAGTTATTTTACAACACAAGTAAGAATAAACTCAAATAAACTCTTTTGTAGACGCTAACCATTTCTAGGGTTTTACTTAATTATGTGATTCATGTATGTACTTCAGGCGACATATTATACTGTACGTCCCATTTGTAAACAGTACTTCACAACATTACTGGTTACTCTCTTAAAATATGCCCAGGTTTTAATTGGGCTGTTGGCATCTCGCTGAGCACACTATGGAGTGGGAAATAACATTAACAGCTTTAACTGTGCATACATGTGTATTATTGGGCTGGTAGATTATTTCAAAATCTGCCGCTGATACTCTTATACGTAATTTTTTACCATTTTTGTCATGGAATGAAGGCGATATACTTAAGTTCCGAAAGATATTTATTTACTAGGATTTATCTTTTGAACTATATTAAGGTTATATAAAGTTCCAAAAGATGAAGGCTTAGTACCTGGTAGTTGATAAATACAGATTTTAAAGTATACGTCTTGTATATAACAGTTTTGTTCAGAGGACTTAACTAATTCGCCCCTGAAATTTCATAATTAACTATTCCAACATTTAAATTGGAAGAATTCAAATGTGTCTTCAGGGGTGAATGGGTGAAAACCCTATAATATTTTGTTACAGACTATAGGAGATAACATACCTGTTCTCCATATTCTCTCCAAGCCTGGCCCTCGTCAAGCCAGAACCACTTCCACTGTGTAGCCAGTGATGTGAACTTCTCAGCCCCGGACGAGGCAGTAGACAGCCTCCTTATCTGATAGGACATACCATCTTTGTCCACTGCCACCAACGTGTCAAAGTTCAGCTGAACCACTTTTGGCGGCCTGAGGATCGAGGGATAACCAGATTGAGTTCAAACCCAAAAGAAGGCTGGGTTACAATATCTGTGCATTTGCACCAATGAACTCTTTTTTTTTTTATTATTTTACTAAATTTCTTACTACGTACTGAACATGAATTTCTTATACAACTTATTAAAAAGGCAAATGTATTCAAAATATATGCTAATTCCTCTGGAACATCATGTCTTTTAGTCTATGAAACCTCTTTTTTGAACCAAAAACAAACAACTGACCTTGGTTACAGTTATTGTACATCCTGAAGAACATGATTTGGATTATTTAACCTTTTCTGCTAAAATGTTGAATATTCAAGGTTGGAAACCAAAAATATGCTGGTATAGAGTAAAGTTTTATGTCATCAGCGGTACATTGCCTCCTACTTTTCTGAAAGGTGTCCCTCGAGATCCTACTCACAATATAAACATCACAGCAGTAACCCAGTATGAAGACATAAATACTTACATGTCTGTTGTTATTTTTACGTAACACTCATTCTTCTCCACGTCACTATAGTTGATTTCCAGGTCTACGTTTGAATTAGGGGGTAGGTCCATCCACTTCTTCCCCGACTCGCGGTATTGCCACTGGTAGGGTAGGTTTTTGTGGGATTTGTGGCAGCCGCGACCGAATCCACATCTGCCACGAAGATGGAAGATACAGATCTCCTTGTTTGGGTGTGCCTGTGGGGGACCGTCTATTTCCTCGTCAGAGCTGTCATCCTGGCTCTGCAAGCTCATCTGGGACATTTGTCTGCATGTGGAAACAAAGTACACTCTCGTTAACCTTCTGACAAAAACGAATATTTTAGAAAAAGCTTTGTTACCTGCTCATGTCGAACGACGGCTGACTTTATTTTACCAATGATGAAGGAATAAAAAGTAATATATTTGTTATTGTGTGTCAACTTACTGATTAGATCTTAGTAGCATCTCTTGTTGAGATGGGTAGGGTTATAGTATAACCTTTGTGTCTGAGCTGTAGTTGAGATGGGTAGGGTTATAATAGCGGTTTGAGATGGGTAGAGTTATAATATAACCTTTGTGTCGTATAACCTTTGTGTCCTAGCTGTGGTTGAGATGGGTAGGGTTATAGTATACCTTTGTGTCTGAGCGGTTTGAGATGGGTAGAGTTATAATATAACCTTTGTGTCTTGAGCTGTAGGGTTATGGAATAACCTTTGTGTCTGCGCTGTGTTTGAGATGAGTAGGGTTATGGTATTACCTTTGTGTCTGAGCAGTGTTTGAGATGGGTTGGGTTATGGTATAAACTTTGTGTCCGAGCTGACTGAGATGGGTAGGGTCATAGTATAACCTTTGTGTCCGAGCTGACTGAGATGGGTAGGGTTCTGATTTAACCTTTGTGTCTGCGCTGTGTTTGAGATGAGTAGGGTTATGGTATAAGCTTTGTGTCCGAGCTGTTTGAGATGGTAGGGTTATGGTATAGCCTTTGTGTCTGAGCTGTGTTTTAGATGGGTAGGGTTATAGTGTAACCTTTGTGTCTGCGCTGTTTGAGATGGGGAGGGTTATGGGATAACCTTTGTGTTTGAGCTGTGTTTGAGATGGGTAGGGTTATAGTATAACCTTTGTGTTTGAGCTGTGTTTGAGATGGGTAGGGTTATGGTATAACCTTTGTGTCCGAGCTGTTTGAGATGGGTAGGGTTATGGTATAACCTTTGTGTCTGAGCTGTGTTTGAGATGGGTAGGGTTATGGTATAAAATTTGTGTCTGAGCTGTGTTTGAGATGGGTAGGGTTATGGTATAGCCTTTGTGTCTGAGCTGTGTTTGAGATGGTTAGGGTCATAGTATAACCTTTGTGTCTTGGGCTGTAGTTGAGATGGGTAGGGTTATGGTATAACCTTTGTGTCTTGAGCTGTAGTTGAGATGGGTAGGGTTATAGTATAACCTTTGTGCCTGAGCTGTAGTTGAGATGGGTAGGGTTATAGTATAACCTTTGTGCTTGAGCTGTAGTTGAGATGGGTAGGGTTATAGTATACCTTTGTGCCTGAGCTGTAGTTGAGATGGGTAGGGTTATAGTATTCCTTTGTGTCTGAGCTGTTTGAGATGGGTAGGGTCAAAGTATAACCTTTGTGTCTGAGGTGTAGTTGAGATGGGTAGGTTTATAGTATAACCTTTGTGTCTGAGCAGTGTTTGAGATGGGTAGGGTTATACTATACCTTTGTGTCTGAGCTGTGTTTGAGATGGGAAGGGTTATAGTATAACCTTTGTGTCTGAGCTGTATTTGAGATGGGTAGGGTTATAGTATAACCTTTGTGTCTGAGCTGGGTTTGAGATGGGTAGGGTTATAGTATACCTTTATGTCTGAGCTGTGTTTGAGATGGGTAGGGTTATGGTATAAAATTTGTGTCTGAGCTGTGTTTGAGATGGGTAGGGTCATAGTATAACCTTTGTGTCTTGGGCTGTAGTTGAGATGGGTAGGGTTATGGTATAACCTTTGTGTCTTGAGCTGTAGTTGAGACGGGTAGGTTTATAGTATAACCTTTGTGTCTGAGCTGTTTGAGATGGGCAGGGTTAAAGTATAACCTTTGTGTCTGAGGTGTAGTTGAGATGGGTAGGTTTATAGTATAACCTTTGTGTCTGAGCTGTAGTTAAGATGGGTAGGGTCATAGTATAACCTTTGTGTCTTGAGCTGTAGTTGAGATGGGTAGGGTTATAGTATTCCTTTGTGTCTGAGCTGTTTGAGATGGGTAGGGTCAAAGTATAACCTTTGTGTCTGAGGTGTAGTTGAGATGGGTAGGTTTATAGTATAACCTTTGTGTCTGAGCAGTGTTTGAGATGGGTAGGGTTATACTATACCTTTGTGTCTGAGCTGTGTTTGAGATGGGTAGGTTTATAGTATAACCTTTGTGTCTGAGCTGTAGTTGAGATGGGTAGGTTTATAGTATAACCTTTGTGTCTGAGCTGTTTGAGATGGGAAGGGTTATAGTATAACCTTTGTGTCTGAGCTGTAGTTGAGTGTGTCTGAGCTGTAGTTGAGATGGGTAGGGTTATAGTATTCCTTTGTGTCTGAGCTGTTTGAGATGGGTAGGGTCAAAGTATAACCTTTGTGTCTGAGGTGTAGTTGAGATGGGTAGGTTTATAGTATAACCTTTGTGTCTGAGCAGTGTTTGAGATGGGTAGGGTTATAGTATACCTTAGTGTCTGAGCTGTGTTTGATGTGTCTGAGCAGTGTTTGAGATGGGTAGGGTTATAGTATACCTTTGTGCCTGAGCTGTAGTTGATATGGGTAGGGTTATAGTATAACCTTTGTGCTTGAGCTGTAGTTGAGATGGGTAGGGTTATAGTATTCCTTTGTGTCTGAGCTATGGTTGAGATGGGTAGGGTTATAGTATACCTTTGTGCCTGAGCTGTAGTTGAGATGGGTAGGGTTATAGTATTCCTTTGTGTCTGAGCTGTTTGAGATGGGTAGGGTCAAAGTATAACCTTTGTGTCTGAGGTGTAGTTGAGATGGGTAGGTTTATAGTATAACCTTTGTGTCTGAGCTGTGTTTGGGATGGGTAGGGTTATAGTATAACCTTTGTGTCTTGAGCTGTAGTTGAGATGGGGAGGGTTATAGTATAACCTTTGTGTCTTGAGCTGTAGTTGAGACGGGTAGGTTTATAGTATAACCTTTGTGTCTGAGCAGTGTTTGAGATGGGTAGGGTTATAGTATACCTTAGTGTCTGAGCTGTGTTTGATGTGTCTGAGCAGTGTTTGAGATGGGTAGGGTTATACTATACCTTTGTGTCTGAGCTGTGTTTGAGATGGGTAAGGTTATAGTATACCTTTGTGTCTGAGCTGTAGTTGAGATGGGTAGGGTCATAGTATAACCTTTGTGTCTTGGGCTGTAGTTGAGATGGGTAGGGTTATGGTATAACCTTTGTGTCTTGAGCTGTAGTTGAGACGGGTAGGTTTATAGTATAACCTTTGTGTCTGAGCAGTGTTTGAGATGGGTAGGGTTATACTATACCTTTGTGTCTGAGCTGTGTTTGAGATGGGTAAGGTTATAGTATACCTTTGTGTCTGAGCTGTAGTTGAGATGGGTAGGTTTATAGTATAACCTTTGTGTCTGAGCTGTAGTTAAGATGGGTAGGGTCATAGTATAACCTTTGTGTCTTGAGCTGTAGTTGAGACGGGTAGGTTTATAGTATAACCTTTGTGTCTGAGCTGTTTGAGATGGGTAGGGTCAAAGTATAACCTTTGTGTCTGAGGTGTAGTTGAGATGGGTAGGTTTATAGTATAACCTTTGTGTCTGAGCTGTTTGAGATTGGTAGGGTTAAAGTATAACCTTTGTGTCTGAGGTGTAGTTGAGATGGGTAGGTTTATAGTATAACCTTTGTGTCTGAGCTGTGTTTGAGATGGGTAGGGTTATAGTATACCTTTATGTCTGAGCAGTGTTTGAGATGGGTAGGGTTATAGTATACCTTTGTGTCTGAGCTATGGTCGAGATGGGTAGGGTTATAGTATACCTTTGAGTCTGAGCTGTGTTTGAGAGTGGTAGGGTTATAGTATACCTTTGTGTCTGAGATGTGGTTGAGATGGGTAGGGTTATAGTATACCCTTTGTGTCTGAGCTGTAGTTGAGATGGGTAGGGGTATAGTATACCTTTGTGTCTGAGCTGTGGTTGAGATGGGTAGGGTTGTAGTATACCTTTGTGTCTGAGCTGTGTTTGAGATGGGCAGGGTTATAGTATACCTTTGTGTCTGAGCAGTGTTTGAGATGGGTAGGGTTATACTATACCTTTGTGTCTGAGCTGTGTTTGAGCTGGGTAGGGTTATAGTATACCTTTATGTCTGAGCTGTGTTTGAGATGGGTAGGGTTATAGTATTCCTTTGTGTCTGAGCTGTAGTTGAGATGGGGAGGGGTATAGTATACCTTTGTGTCTGAGCTGTGTTTGAGAGGGGTAGGGTTATAGTATAACCTTTGTGTCAGAGCTGTGTTTGAGATGGGTAGGGTTATAGTATGCCTTTGTGTCTGAGCTATGGTTGAGATGGGTAGGTTTATAGTATACCTTTGTGTCTGAGCTGTGTTTGAGCTGGGTAGGGTTATAGTATACCTTTATGTCTGAGCAGTGCTTGTGATGGGAAGGGTTATAGTATACCTTTGTGTCTGAGCGGTAGTTGAGATGGGTAGGGTTATAGTATAACCTATGTGTCTGAGCTGTGTTTGAGATGGGTAGGGGTATAGTATACCTTTGTGTCTGAGCTGTGGTTGAGATGGGTGGGGTTATAGTATAACCTTTGTGTCTGAGCTATGTTTGAGATGGGTAGGGTTATAGTATACCTTTATGTCTGAGCAGTGATTGAGATGGGTAGGGTTATAGTATACCTTTATGTCTGAGCAGTGATTGAGATGGGTAGGGTTATAGTATACCTTTGTGTCTGCGCTGTGTTTGAGAGTGGTAGGGGTATAGTATACCTTTGTGGCTGAGCTGTAGTTGAGATGGGTAGGGTTATAGTATCCCTTTGTGTCTGAGCTGTGTTTGAGATGGGTAGGGTTATAGTATACCTTTGTGTCTGAGCTGTGTTTGAGAGTGGTAGGGTTATAGTATACCTTTGTGTCTGAGCTGTAGTTGAGATGGGTAGGGTTATAGTATACCTTTGTGTCTGAGCTATGGTTGAAGAACTCTGGCTACTCTGGCTTATGTTGTCCTGTAGATCTTTGGAACTCAACACAGACTCTCGTAGCTCAGCTAAAATCTCTTTAGGTGCTCGCTTCAAGTTCATGCCATGTTTAGCTAGGATTTCTGTGAATAATATTTTTTTTTATTTATACAATTTTCATAAACCTGTTTAAGAAACATATAAAACTCAGATTATAGTTTGGCATTTGGTAAGTTTGAAGAGATTGATGTTATATTAACATTAGGCATCCTTAATAAGGGTTAGATACTAACTTGTTTTGCTTGGTAGTCTACAGGACTAGTTGAATATATTATTTACTAGTATGTTGTCAATGTAACTATCCCAAGATTTCCTGATAAGGAAATATCGCGATCTGAAGCACGAAACATCAAAAGTAATCGAATGCAGGGGACTTAAAATAATTAATGTCATAAAAATATGGTTAAGTTTTAGGAAAATTTTGACAATTATCATAATATATATCTTATTTTAAGCTGTTTTATAAATTTAAAAAAGAAACATTCTTATTTTATAATCATATTTTTCACAAGTCCAAAGGACCAGTTAGGTTAGGTAATTCACTAGTCCTAGCTGAAATCTACTAGTCCAGGACTAGTGTTAGTGTCGACCCTACTTATGAAAGGTTTTTTGACGTGTTAAATGAAATCTGCAGATCAGTTGTCTGATTTAAAGTGAAAGTTTTTTTAGCTTTTCTTCCTCACATTATTGTATCACAGCAAATATCCTTTGCATTATTAAGGATTACCCATACCACTGCCAAAAATATTAACTATGTATTGTTTTTTTCCTGTATGACCATACTTTGATAAATCATATTGCTGAAAAGAAAACTATATAGGACTTCAATGAAAAATGATAAAGAAGAAATAGACAGAAAACAGGTCAACAACAGTGTAAGTCCAAGCGTCAAATTTCATCAACAAGGATTCAAACCCTGGACTTAAGACTGTTATAAGCTATCGCTCTAACCGACTACCTGGTCAATTGAAGTGTACTGACCCAACTGTGCTACAGTATGTTATATCCAAAACAAAAATATGGGGAGGTTACCGTATACATAGAATTTACCATATTGCAGTAGGACAGGAATCCTAAAATTGAAGTAATTAATGTTAAACCATTACTGTATACACGTATTTGTGTTTAATAGTCTGCAGTCATAATCTGTTAGGAGACAAAACCAGTTTTATAATCCATTTGCAACACTTCCTATACAAATTATATATTGAAAAGTATATGTATTATTTGAAATCATCATAAAAATGACCACAAATATCTATGTTGCCAGTTTTTTCAGAAAACTGTTCACTATTTGTGTTTTACTTTGAGCTAGATCCAAATTTAATTACTTCACCAGATTTAAGGTGCAATTCTATCTATTTTAGATCCCATTTCCAAAATGGTGAAAAAAATGCCCTAAAAATGATCAGAAAATTAAATGTCGCATTGTCTCCTGTTACACACGAGCATCATCTGTAATTCCAATATAGGTGTCATGTCTGCTCTATCTGAACTGTCTGGAAAATAACAGCCACCCACATTTTTTTCTAAATAGAAATATTTTAAGAGGAAACTACAGCTGTATCAGCTAACCTAGCTGATTTCTGTATACCTCAGCCCTCTGTGTCATATTTTTGGCGGTAGCTTTTGGCTTGCTAATTCCATTCCCCACCCCAACTATATTACAGTGTGAATGATCCATTCCTCCCTACCCCCAACTATATTACAGTGTGAATGATCCATTCCTCCCTACCCCCAACTATATTACAGTGTGAATGATCCATTCCTCCCTACCCCCAACTATATTACAGTGTGAATGATCCATTCCTCCCTACCCCCAACTATATTACAGTGTGAATGATCCATTCCTCCCTACCCCCAACTATATTACAGTGTGAATGATCCATTCCTCCCTACCCCCAACTATATTACAGTGTGAATGATCCATTCCTCCCTACCCCCAACTATATTACAGTGTGAATGATCCATTCCTCCCTACCCCCAACTATATTACAGTGTGAATGATCCATTCCTCCCTACCCCCAACTATATTACAGTGTGAATGATCCATTCCTCCCTACCCCCAACTATATTACAGTGTGAATGATCCATTCCTCCCTACCCCCAACTATATTACAGTGTGAATGATCCATTCCTCCCTACCCCCAACTATATTACAGTGTGAATGATCCATTCCTCCCTACCCCCAACTATATTACAGTGTGAATGATCCATTCCTCCCTACCCCCAACTATATTACAGTGTGAATGATCCATTCCTCCCTACCCCCAACTATATTACAGTGTGAATGATCCATTCCTCCCTACCCCCAACTATATTACAGTGTGAATGATCCATTCCTCCCTACCCCCAACTATATTACAGTGTGAATGATCCATTCCTCCCTACCCCCAACTATATTACAGTGTGAATGATCCATTCCTCCCTACCCCCAACTATATTACAGTGTGAATGATCCATTCCTCCCTACCCCCAACTATATTACAGTGTGAATGATCCATTCCTCCCTACCCCCAACTATATTACAGTGTGAATGATCCATTCCTCCCTACCCCCAACTATATTACAGTGTGAATGATCCATTCCTCCCTACCCCCAACTATATTACAGTGTGAATGATCCATTCCTCCCTACCCCCAACTATATTACAGTGTGAATGATCCATTCCTCCCTACCCCCAACTATATTACAGTGTGAATGATCCATTCCTCCCTACCCCCAACTATATTACAGTGTGAATGATCCATTCCTCCCTACCCCCAACTATATTACAGTGTGAATGATCCATTCCTCCCTACCCCCAACTATATTACAGTGTGAATGATCCATTCCTCCCTACCCCCAACTATATTACAGTGTGAATGATCCATTCCTCCCTACCCCCAACTATATTACAGTGTGAATGATCCATTCCTCCCTACCCCCAACTATATTACAGTGTGAATGATCCATTCCTCCCTACCCCCAACTATATTACAGTGTGAATGATCCATTCCTCCCTACCCCCAACTATATTACAGTGTGAATGATCCATTCCTCCCTACCCCCAACTATATTACAGTGTGAATGATCCATTCCTCCCTACCCCCAACTATATTACAGTGTGAATGATCCATTCCTCCCTACCCCCAACTATATTACAGTGTGAATGATCCATTCCTCCCTACCCCCAACTATATTACAGTGTGAATGATCCATTCCTCCCTACCCCCAACTATATTACAGTGTGAATGATCCATTCCTCCCTACCCCCAACTATATTACAGTGTGAATGATCCATTCCTCCCTACCCCCAACTATATTACAGTGTGAATGATCCATTCCTCCCTACCCCCAACTATATTACAGTGTGAATGATCCATTCCTCCCTACCCCCAACTATATTACAGTGTGAATGATCCATTCCTCTCTACCCCCAACTATATTAGTGTGAATGATCCATGAATGATCCATTCCTCCCTACCCCCAACTATATTACAGTGTGAATGATCCATTCCCCCCTACCCCCAACTATATTGCAGTTCAAATGATCCATTCATCCCTACCCACAACTGTATTATAGTGGAAATGATCCATTCCTCCCCACCCCCAACTATATTACAGTGTGAATGATCCTTTCCTCCCTACCCCCAACTATATTACATTGTGAATGATCCATTCCTCCCTATCCCCAACTATATTACAGTGCGAATGATCCATTCCTCCGTACCCCCAACTATATTACAGTGGAAATGATCCTTTCCTCCCCACCCCCAACTATATTACAGTGTGAATGATCCATTCCTCCGTACCCCCAACTATATTAGTGTGAATGATCCATTCCTCCCTACCCCCAACTGTATTATAGTGGAAATGATCCATTCCTCCCCACCCCCAACTATATTACAGTGCAAATGATCCATTCCTCCCCACCCTCAACTATATTACATTGTGAATGATCCATTCCTCCCCACCCCCAACTATCAGGGCTCAGGCTTACCACCCGGCCACTCGTCCTGACCGCGTGAAAATTGAAAAGGACGAGTGGAGAGTTTACAACCACACTCGTCCCGGTGCCGAGTCAATATTACTGAAACATACACTAGATCTGTCGCCTAAATATTGTGATGAATAATCAATGGAACACTTTTTACCAAGTAACTTTCGTCACAGCATCGGAAGTAAACAACGTAAAACATGCCGTTTTCATGCTTGTAATAAAGATCACCTGAGCGCTTGAATCAAAGCGTCCTGAACGATGTACTGCGGGGCCCGACTGCAGCAATCGCAGCAGGGAACTAGACTACATAATGTTCCGTAACTAATCGAAACGAAAGATGGAAGTGAAACTTCACCCCTTTTTCACAAAAGGTACAGTGTTGACACGATATTTTTGATGAATGGAAATCAAATATATGTTGCTAGTTATGATGTGTAGTAATTGTATTTACGATAAATTAACTCGGGAGTAAATGCAGTAACAAATAATTTACGTTGACACTTCGGCATGGGTTCAGAAAAATCACTGACGGTGCCGATACGTTAGGATTTATAATGAATATATGCACACTTACAGTAATACTTATGTGTGTGGGACGACATCACATTATGTCATATTCGTATATATCAATTAATGGTCAATATTAATAGTTGCCACGATATAATTCCTGTTTCTGTCTTTGATTTTTATTCCCGTTCATGTCGAAATATAACCAGTCCAGATTGGCAGATATGTGTGACATACCAAACTTGTTTTTTTTATTGTAAGCTTACACTATTTGCTTACAGGGTCTGCTCATAATCTCAGGTGTACAGTAAAATTTCTGGAGTGCCATGTGCATTTTTCATGACACTAGGCACAGTGCCTAGTGGTTAAAAAAGTTTAGCCTGAGCCCTGACTATATTACAGTGGGAGTGATCTATTCCTTAGTAAGTTACAATTCAATGTAGACTTCATGGCAATAAATATCAAAAATGTATTTGGTGAAGTTGAACTATTGAACTTTGTACTGTATATTTATATTTTTGATATATATACTACTTGCTAGCTGTAATTCTTTTCCTCTTTAGGGTGAAAGTTTAAAAGGGAACTAGTATATAGTGGTTAGCCATTTCTTTCTCTCCTGGAGAAGGTACACCAGAATTGCAAGTGTTGTTAGTGTATGAAGGAAAAAGGTCAAGAATTTTTCTACATTTATGGCTTGTTAACATTTTTATTGGTTTTGTTAACATTACTGGAATACTGAGACAAATCTATATAGTATTGTGACAATGCATATTCAAGGATATTTCGTTTTGTGTCAAATCACAAATGTAAGGATATTTTGTTTTCATCCATTCTTTGTATTATTGTTTTACACCTAAGTGGGAATGCAGAGAGAGACTATTAGGGTATGTCTATTGATTCACAATTGATATTTTGATGACTTTAACTCATTGTTGTTATGGAGATCTGAGACTTAACATACCTCTAACTTGTGTGTGGTTTATGTCGTGATTCCTCTTGCATCCCTGACCAAATTTACACTGGCTCATCACGTAGTGGCGACATATGTGGAGATACGGGCAAGGTACACCTTGTGTTATATTTCTGCATCCTGCAGCCCCTACATTGTAAAACTTACATATGTGGGGCAGAGTCGACTCGGTGCGACTCTCTGTGGACTGAAATAGATACCTCAGCTCTTGAACCGTCAGGTGTGCAAGCCAGTGTTGCTGCAAGACTGCTCTGTTGTGTTGGGTAGTCAAATCGTGACCAAACATACAAGTTCCTTCCTGGATTTTAGAAAACCTACATGAGTTTGCCAACAGATAAAATTTGCATATATGTAACTTGTCACAAACAGGAAATCCCATACAGGCGGTTTTCCTCGTGCAATGTTCGCTACACAAACCCACTTTGGATACAGCCTGGATCACATCTAAGTTTGTTCCCTCTTTCCTTATGATACAGAAGTTATTTGGGAAATTCAGAAAAAGCATGTGGAGCTGTTGTTCGCTGACTCGCGGTAAATCCCTCGTGACATTGTAGATCTCCACAGCCAGATCACGGAGGTAGAGGGGCCCGCCAATGTGACACAACAGTTTTATGGCCGCTTGCACCAGACTTGCACTCTGTATATCGTTGAGAGGAACAGCCATTTGCGGCGGCATTGGCTGCATTTGCTGGTAATATGGGTGCGCCATCACGGCACAATTCGGTGGAACGTCAGGCACCCCCGGGTTACCGGTAAACTGAAAGTAGCTCATATCATTAGAGTGACGCACTTCCGGGGAGTCTACTAAAGACCTGAACGAGGTAAGAGTAATGTCAGGAATACAAACGATTTTATCTTAAATATAGTCAAACCTTTAAGTTCAAACCACCATATCTATCTTAATGCTATAGATTTATCAATTCGAATATATTAACATTATTGATAATTTTATGTTGTATAATACGATGTTAAAAGCAATAACAGATATTTAATATATCATTGCAGAAGTTTGACAGGAAATACGACCGTTCTGAGCCTGAAGGTGAAATTGTGGTAAGTTAAAGCTACAGGAGATACATCTACGATGCATCTTTTTAGATTAATATGAAGGTACTTTCTACAGTTTGATCTGAGTTGTATTGTACATAATGTCAGTGGTTTATTTTGAAATATATTGGATTTGTATTTAAGTACGTGTTATGTGGTTTAAGGGGAACTACCTCCAAGGTGTGACCCTTATTGGCCCGTATCATCATTTTCTTCGTGTCAGGATTTTTCTTCAGAGTAAATCTCTGTTTGTCATTGTCTTTCACAACTCTCTTGATATCTGCATATCGAAAATCTTGGAGGGAAGAGAGTTTCAAAATGTCATCTACATACAAGAATCCTTCTGAAAAGCAAATACAAATCAAATATTATAGATGCAAGTATGTTGTATGTAGAAATTAATTGTGCATAATTATAAGAAAGTCATATCAAACTAACAATGACATTTTATCTACAAAATGAAAATGTTTCTTATCAGGGACAGTATATCCATTATACGTCCCTGTTCTTATGTAAGGAGACAACTGCATACATTTCTTTGTTGTAAACATATGTTCTGTTTAAATCTGCATGCTGTGGTACAATATTTTTGTATGTGATATATTAATGTATAACTTTTTACTTTAATTGCCGTACTAATGGTGAAGTAGGACGAGGAATATTGATAAAGATAGTGCCGTCGCTGGAGCTCGAACCTGCGTACTTGGCTCTCCAGCCCGATATGCTCTACCGCTGAGCTAAAGGAAAATTCCCTACAGTTGACGCTTGTAAGGCAACCTAATTACTCCACCTCCTTTACACTATTCCCCCCCCCCTTTTTTTTTAAACACCAACCCACACTCTTTGACTCCCGCCAAGGGGTTCTCCTACCTTGAACGGGGAGGGTCAACGGCACCAATTTGTAGTAGCACGAGGAATAGTGATAAAGATAGTGCCGTCGCTGGGGCTCGAACCCGCGACCCTTGGCTCTCCAGCCCGATGCTCTGACGCTGAGCGGGAAATTCCCTACAGCTTACGCATGTAAAGCAACCTAATTACTCCACGTCTTTTACAATAGCTTTACAGAGCTAATGTTGGATGTAACTCACCTACGATGCTAAGTTATAGATTCTTGAAGATCGTATTTAAGTTTATATTGTTTTAGTGCTAATTTCACTAAGAACAATTCTGTAAAAAAACAAAGGATTTGGACTCGTGAATCCGTCCTCGATACTCAATAGGTTACGCTCACTTACGCTCCGTACACCCCCGGAATATGTCAAAACAAAGTCGAATGAGACGAGAAGACTAGTTTGGTCCTTTGATGTACATAAAAACAATCGTGCTTTGAAGTCGGGTGTCGCTCCTCTGTAATCTTCATGAGGACATGTATCAGCCTAGCGATTGGTCAGGTTTTGTTTCACCTTAGACCACGGAATTATATGCTATCTAAGTCCGTACTTAGACAAATCACGTAGCTAGTGGCGTGTCTTTAATTTTGCTAAGAAATATTCCAGAGGTGCAGAGAGCGTAAGTGATGTCTTGAATCACACACGGATTCAATGCTACAGTCTGATACAGTTCCAATAACTAAATATGTTTGATCTCTCTGTAGACAAGTAACATATGACTGAGTAAAACACTGCTCAGCATTTCTTAATAGGCTTCAAAGGCCGTTTGTTTGGACTAAATTGAATTCAAGAATAAGCAGTCACTCTGATATGGTACAATGTATAATGTTGATTGGGCGTACAGACATTGAATTAAAATCGACTATATATCCCAGCCAACCATTGCATGTCAAACAAGCTGTAAAAACACACACCTGCCATCAACGTTAACCCCTCCTTTTCTGCTCGATGTCGAAGGAGAAACGCCAACGTCTTAGACAGGAACACATCTGGGTTGCCATCCTGTGAGCATAAAGTTACAACGTTGTAAATGATTTTTCCTGAAATCTTTCGGGGAAGGGGGTTGAACCAAAACAAGCCAATGTGATGTTTGTCCTGTCTGACTGCTATCACGCCATTGTTATGGTTAGCCAAGTTTTTATTTTTATTGTAAGACATCTCTCTTATATTTGGAGAAATCTTATAGTTAGTTACTTATTTGAGATATATCTATATAATTTAATTTTGCCTATCTCCCCCATAATATTTTTTTGGTATATATCGTATATGACTAAAAAGAACTACTTTTTACACTTCAGAATGCAAAATTACAACGCAGCTTTTTTTTAGCGCAATTGTTTAGTTTACGTAAAAATTAAATAAATCTTTAACTGTGCATTTATAACGTGTTTGTCTACTTTTTTAAAATTAAATTATAAAGAATGCCCAAGATTTTGTTTTGGTATCTACGGTATAAACCGAAAAAAATTGTGCACTTTTTTGCATAAACCGCTTATATCAAAACAAAATCTTGGTCATTCCTTAAATTACTTTTTAAATCTCTTAAATTCAATTAGAAACGTCTCCATTTCTCAGTGAATTGATATCATTGTTTCATTTAAAGATTTCAACTCATTTATTATCTTTCAATGAGATAAATTTAAATGTTATAGAAATATATTTACATGAATTAGATCGATCTTTTATCATACATGTAGTGGGCAACCCTCTTTTAAACTGTGTTTTCAAAGATGTCTTTAATTAATTGAAATATATCGCTATTGTATAGACACATGTTTAACTTTTAAACGTAACTCTTCTTATTAAAGTATATGAGATATTTCTATTTGAATATAAAAACAGAAGAAAAAATCATTTAAAGATATTTAATACTTTAGCGACCACTCACCACTCCTTGGGTATTACATGGTTATGGGGTTGGCTTGCTCTATATTATAATGCCACTATCACTAAAGTGAAAGTTTTGAGATTAGAGCCGTATAGACTCCCTTGTAAAGTAACTATCGTAAGTGTTGTCTATTTATTGTGCTGAGTGCACGTTATGTGGATCTACGACAGACCATACCTACCCTGCGTCTCTCACCCCCGCTGCCCTCATAGTCCTGCTCCTTGGGCTGGGGCTGTGGGGGCTTTCGTTTTTTCATCGTCCGCTCTTTGCAGGTCCGTATATTTTTACTTAGACTTATGGGATAGTGTTTTGTCCAGACTTTGGACAACTGCAGTGTCCTCTCTTACCATCAATATTTAGCCTGCCCTTTTCCTGAGGAAAAGGATAGAGACAATGCCATTTTTTAACAGATGAAGTTAATACACAAGCGATGTCAAGAACACAATTTTTATTAGCAAAAATTCTATTTCGAGACTACGTAAGAACATTTTACAGTATGCATTTTAACCATCACACTATCATAATGATTAGCCAGTTTTAGCAAGATTTATATAATTGTACCTGAAGATACCTCATAATTAAACGCGTCCATGCTACTATACGATGCTACATCGAACTAGGACCAAGTACAATGAAAGTCCGCGCTGTTGAAACCGTCAGCAAAACCTCTAGCTATCGGATTAGTTTACTGTCAGTAACATCATGCAATAAATTGCAATAACTCGTTGGGACTGGGATATAAGGATAATACGGATACAGAACACGAAGAAGAAAGTGAAAGCGGCGAGTAAGTTACTTCACCAAACGATCACAATGACACACTGGATCCATTACCGTTGCTGATGAATCTTACAAAGGAACGATCGGTTGTCCACTCCACATAAGTTTGAATAGAGTTTAGCCTTCCGAGAAAATCAGGAGAGAACACCGTACCTGCAATAGAGTAATGCTTACAAAAAAAGCAATCATTCTTATCGATTTTATTTTATTTATTTCCCAATATAATCGTTATCATGAAAGAAGATAATGGACTGTAGGTGTAATATCTGCAAATGTACAGTTTTGCAAACAAGAATAATTGATAACTTCTGTTACAATGCAGTGGTATAATAGCTCAATCTCTTATAATTATATTTACGACTTTAATTGCGTTTTCTTTCCCGCATTAGATATTCTGATACAATTATGATAATTCCCACATTTGTACATATATAGCAGACACCTGATACACCTTTATTTCTCGCAGGTTACGACTATACATTAAGCAGGACACTGTACATTATTAGCCCGTATATTTTATGAGGAACGGTTAAACCGGTCGGACCACAGTTGGTCGTTTATTAAATAAGGTCGGACCTAGTTATCTGATGCTGCTTTCAGGCGAGCACTGACAAAGCCTTGCAAGGCCTACATTAACATTTGCAGATCCGCCAGGATATATACCCTAAATTGTTGCTACCATCCCAGGATGGTAACTTTAGAATTGGTCGCTGTACCAGCCATATTGAGGGGTTTCCACATGGATATAAATAGTCTGTCTACTTTGATTGGCTCGCTAACATACTTTACACGCAGTGATTGGTTACCTGTTGTCTGTGCTGTCACTATTCGTAAAGGTTCAAGTGGGGAAATTTATTGCAAACAAAATGTGATAGATAAAGTCAGAGATATCCTAATGTTCATACAAGATTGTATGACATTGTTCTGCTATTCCACGCACGGCGGCGCTGTTGTTAGGTTATGGTCGGAAATCTATAAAATCAGAGAGCTCCGAATTGGCATATGTGTGCCATTGCTGTGTAAGAAAAATAACATGAATCAAAAAACTTATGGAAACATTTCAAAAATTTGGGATATGAAACTAAAAGAAAAACGAATATGAATGTAGTTTTGAACATTGAAGGTGAAAATTGTCATGAAAACTTAACCATTGCCAATCATTTTAACAATTTTTTTACAACCATTCGGCATTGCTTCCAAACTTGTTGAAGGCCTTTCTCCATGTAAAGGCTTATTCAAAACCTCACAAACTTTAATAAATTCTTTCTACATTAGGAGAAATCCAAAACAAAACAAATTTCACCTCAAACATGTTTCTGAAAATTTTGTATTTAAGGAACTTTGTAATCTCAATATCACTAAAAGTACTGGTCTAGATTGTATTCCAGCTCGTTTTCTGAAAGATGCTGCATCAGTAATCAAGGTGCCTGTAAGATTTTTAATAAATAAGTCCATATCTGAAAATGTTGTACCAGATGATCTCAAGATTGCAAAGGTAAAACCACTATTCAAGAAAAAAGATAAATTGAAGGCTGAAAATTACAGACCTGTTAGTATTTTGAGTATTGTTTCAAAAATCCTAGAAAAAGCAATTTATAAACAACTGGAACAATTTTTGATTGATAACAACATTTTGTATGAGTTCCAATCTGGTTTTAGAAAATCCTATTCCACTGACTCCTGTTTAATTCACCTGGTTGATCACATAAAGTCCCAGACGTCTAAAGGTCTCTTCACTGGAATGGTTTTACTAGACCTACAGAAGGCCTTTGATACAGTTGACCATGGGATTTTGTGTGATAAACTTGGTGTAATTGGCATTGAGTCGGTGGAGTGGTTCACATCATACCTTACCAACAGAAAACAATTAGTCAATATCAATAATGTGAACTCGGATATTTGTAATATAACATGCGGGGTACCCCAAGGGAGTTTATTGGGACCGCTTCTTTTTCTCATTTATGTAAATGACATGCGGATCAGTATTGACCAAGGATGCAAATTATTTCTGCACGCAGATGACAGTGCAATTATCTTCTCGCACAAAGACCCAAAAATTATTTCAAAATTTCTACCGAAAAACTTAGAGTCATGTCACGATTGGCTAACAGATAACAAATTATCCTTACATCTTGGAAAAACAGAGAGTATTTTGTTTGGCCCCAAAAGGAAACTTTCCAAATTACCTGAAGGCTCATTTTCTGTTTCGTGTTACGGTAATATAATTATGCCTCAGGTGTGTGTCAAATATCTTGGTATTATATTGGACAACTTTCTATCTGGAGAACAAATTGTCCAAAGTATTATAAAAAAAGTGAACCAGAAAATGTGGTTTCTATATAGACACCGTGACTGTCTCAATTTTAGATCTAGAAAAACCCTGGTGTCGGCACTGATCCAATGTCATTTTGACTATGCTTCTAGCTGCTGGTTCGAAAACATATCCAAAAAACTTCGACAAAAACTACAAATTACACAGAATAAAGTGGTCAGATTTATTCTGAAACTTGATAATAGATCAAGAGTCACCCATCGGGAATTGGAACAAGCTAATATGTTGGATGTTGGGGGCAGGGTGAAACAGCTCCGTTTTAACCATGTCTTTAATATTCAACATAACAAATGTCCATCCTATATGAAAGAAAATTTTACTAGAACAGAGAAAAAACACTTTACCAGGAACAGTGATCTGAATTTCAACATTCCTTATATAAAAGGTGTGGAATCATCATCTTTTTTCTATAATGCTATCAAAGATTGGAATAACTTACCACATTCAATAAAATCTGTCGATCACAAGATGAAATTCAAAAGCGAGATAAAAAAGTACTTACAAGTTTTGGCAAAAAATGATTTTGAGCAAGAATTTGTCTTCTAAAGGTAATTTTTATTCTATCCCAGTGGGTGACTCTAAACTTCTTCTAAAAATATATGATGTATTACCAAAATTTTAACTAAAGTACCAATATAATATGTACTTTTTATAAATGTTATGGAAGATTTTATTACCATCATCCTCAGTCTTTATTTTATTAAAAGTCATTTTTATATATGTATTATACCCCAAATTGCTATAATTTGTTAGACAGATAATAGGTTGGTAGGGATTGCCCAACCACCTGTTGTCTGTTCTACACACAAGTACCACAGTATAAATGTATATGGCCTAACACCATCTTATATTGTTACTTAATATCTGCAAGAATGACATCATCTTGCATTATGATATGTACAGTGATACATATAACTGATATTTTAATATTACAAGTGGAAACAACATCATGCATAGCTCCACATATATATATTATCAGAAGGAAATCATATTTGCTAATGACAACTCCATCTTATACCGTCAAATAAAATAACATCTTATTTTGATGAAATAATATATCATCATCATATTTGACCAATTACAACTTATTCTATTCATATATATATTATTACGAGAAATTATACCATCTTATATTCATATTATTAGGTCAAATCCTTAGGACCTTTTGTTATCTAAGTAATTAAGATCTATACTAGAGGACCCCATTGGAAATAAGCTGCCACCCTAGGTTAAAGCTTGGTCAAACAAATACATTGTATTTATAGTGCTCCAAAATTTGTGATATTAACTTTGATGTGATTATCTAAATACTGTGATAAATCTGTGATTATTATGCAATTGAAATCTGTGATCATATGTGATATTTGTACCTGTATCTTGCTTTTACCGAATAAATATTATTATTATTAAGATAAGTTTTAAATCTCACTTTATACTTTGAGTATGTGGTGACTGATTATGATAATAATTCTGCGCTCTTACCGATTATTGCACATTACAGCTGCACCCAGACCATACAAATCCTTTGCAAACTACTTTCATTTGTCTTCTTTTAGGCCAACAAAACCAATGGCCATTTGAATAGTCAAAACCATCAACTTCGCAGACATTTTCTAAGTTCCCAATGGCTCTTCGGAACACTCGAATTTCGTTTGGAAAAGTTTGTAACTCGGGATTATTACAGCCATTTTAGTATATAGCAATGTGTGGTTCCTAATATCAATCTTTTAAAATATATGCGTTAATATAATAATTAATATTTGAATATATCAACTAAACTAATTGACATATTTAATATTGGTGTTAGTTATACTTGCTGTAGAAAAATACGAAACTGTGCGTGCGCAAAGCTAGTTTTACACAGATGCCGTTTGCCGCATTCCATTCGTGCCATTTTAGGGTCATACTAATACCAGAACCAGACGGAAAACCAGGACCAAGTGCTTTAATGTGTTTCTTTCATGTTTTTTAATGCAACTATACCTTAATGAACTGATATCATATGAATAAAAAGCACAAGTTTATATAAAAAAAATGCATTGCATAATGCTAAAATAAAAATGTGGTCCCGGTTTTCTCTGTCCTGGTTTTAGTAATGATTTGTTTTGTCCTGGCAGGATTTGGGTCACTAAATTAACAAGAGGCCAATGGCCTTAACGGTCACCCGATATATTTATACAGAGAGTTGATTTTGTGTTTAACATGAACAATTATATTATTTAAAGTGACAATAACAATAAAACCACCTTATTCAATATCTAGCACACAGATTTAAGACTGAAAAGTATTTGAACTACTGACTCCTTTGGGCCCCACCCTACAGTCATTGGGGGTAGGGCTGGCTCAAAATTTACAAAGTATCAAACTGTCAACTCAGGGTTATAATTCCAATCAAGTTATTAACATGTAATATTCAAAGTATCATTTGCCATTATAAACCATAATAAATTTTGCCCCCTCCTTCCTCAGGGGTAAAACGTGATACCCTAGGGTCATAATAATAATAATAATATACAGCATTTATATAGCGCCCTATATAATTTGTAAAATTACTCTAAGGCGCTTTACAACATATGGATAATAGTAATGGTTATAATTGTGAAAACAAACAACAAAGGCTTGCAATCACTTTCATACATTTAACAAGCAATGTGCACATAATTGAACAAATAAAAGGGTGGTATTTACATGACGTCTTTGCAAAGATTCTAAAATGCAGACGTGAAGAGGTGAGTTTTTATGTCCCTCTTGAACTTGGCCAGGGTATTCGACTTCCTAATAGCGGATGGTAAGCTATTCCACAACGTAGCCGAAACCCTCCCAAAGCATCTGTTTCCGTAGGTCACAGTACGAGATTTTGGGACACACAACAAAGATTCTGACTCCGACCGCAGTGATCTTGACGGCTGATACAGGGTAACAAGTTCCTGTAGGTACTGAGGAGCTGTTCAATTCAGTGCCTTGTATGTGTATACCAGAATTTTGTACTGCGACATGTATCGTACCTGTATCATAAACCTTAAGACCCTTCCATCTATGAAGAGTGTTTGATTCTACCATATCTGAGTCTTGAGAAGAAGATTTTTTTAAATTTCAGTCAATTCGACCCTTTTTGGCCCCACCCATCAGCCCCAGGGGGTCAGTCAGGGCTCATATGTGCATACCATCAAACTGCTATCCAATACTGATAATGCTAACCCAAGTTGAATTACTTTTAATGGAAATTAAACAAATGTTGGCCCAAAATGTGATTTCCCTATATAAACTAAAATAAAGTTTACCCCCTTCCCAGGGGGACACGTGAGACCCCAGGGTCATGAAATTTTGGTAAAGCACCTTAAGACCCTTCCATCTATGAAGAGTATTTGATTCTAAAATATCTGGATCTTGAGAAGAAGATTTTTGAAATTTTAGTCAATTTGACCCGTTTTGGCCCCGCCCCTCAGGCCCCTGGGGTCTGGGGACCAAATCAGCCACTATTTTTGTTGACCTTTGGCCATGGAAGGTTTCTGCGAAATTTCATTGAGATTGGTTCAGGGGTTTTGGAGAAGAAGTCGAAAATGTAAATTGTTTACTGACGCACGACGGACGGCGGACGACGGACGACGCCGGACAAAAGGCGATCGCAATAGGTCACTTGAGACTGAGACTTTGTCTCAAGTGACCTAAAAAATCAGCTCAGTACCACCTGACCAATAAGTTAACAGTTGTCCGCTCGTGGACGCACTGACGACCAAATTTGACCCTTTTTGGCCCCGCCCCTCAGGCCCCTGGGGTCTGGGGACCAAATCAGCCACTATTTTTGTTGACCTTTGGCCATGGAAGGTTTCTGCGCAATTTCCTTGAGATTGGTTCAGGGGTTTTGGAGAAGAAGTCGAAAATGTAAATTGTTTACTGACGCACGACGGACGACGGACGACGCCGAACAAAAGGCGATCGCAATAGGTCACTTGAGACTGAGACTTTGTCTCAAGTGACCTAAAAAATATTTTCAGTACCACCTGACCAATTAGTTAACAACTAGTTGTCCGCTCGTGGACGCACTGACGACCAAATTTAACCCGTTTTGGCCCCGCCCCTCAGGCCCCTGGGGTCTGGGGACCAAATCAGCCACTATTTTTGTTAACCTTTGGCCATGAAAGGTTTCTGCAAAATTTCATTGAAATTGGTTCAGGGGTTTTGGAGAAGAAGTCGAAAATGTAAATTGTTTACTGACGCACGACGGACGACGCCGGACAAAAGGCGATCGCAATAGGTCACTTGAGACTGAGACTTTGTCTCAAGTGACCTAAAAATTATTTTCAGTACCACCTTTTAAATAAATTCGCAGCATAACTACGCGTGCTTCTACATCTATCTCAAACTTTACTATAACTGCTTAATACTAAATATTGGAAAGCTAATAGGCCTACTTGTTACATTTAAAAACCGACCA